CCCCTGCCTCTCCCCCCAGGCATAACCCTAGTCATCAAGTCATTAGAGAAGACAGAAACACTAATATCCTCAGAGCTCCTCCTCCTCCGTAGCATAGCTAGTTAGGATAGATTTAGAGGGAGGCAAGCAGAACTTCGCTTGGATTCCCAATCTTGTAAAGAGCGTGGTTCGGTATAAACTTTGTACCCCTCTCTCTTGTTTCTCTATTATTTTTATATGCTAGTTACAAGTGTTATGACAGTCGCAGTGTTCATCTTATTCATATTCTTCATTATGATGTTCAACGTCTACTTTGATTATATATTTAGTATAGCTAGTTTATCATTGTGTTTATGCATAAGTTCATATAGTGCTCACTCTGATGTACATGGGGTGGGTGGTCAACATTGTGTAAGCGTGGTGCTTATACGTTGTTTACCTGCGGATACACCCTATATTCTGGGTCATGTGGTAGATCGCGGATGTGACACTCCCGTTGAGTCCTTTGTAGTCCACTCTCGGAATATAGGTGCAAGTAGGGTCCGATTACGAAGGTAGAATGAGCTCTGCCCTCAATCTTCCTTGGTAATATCCCTTAGGTGTAGATATGATGATGATCTTAGCCATGATTACTAGGTGTAATTGTACTAATCAAATGTATGCTTTGACTTATAATTAAGAATGACTTAGGAATTATTCCTCTAATATTCTACCTGACCATGCTAATGCTATAGAAAGGAGTGCTCTGAGTGATTTATTATTCTCATTATTTATCATTTATACATCTCTTATCTTATGACTAACCCCTGTTGTGAGTAGAATATTGGCTATGGTTTATTTCTCCTTCAATAGTATAAGTTATCAATACATGTCCATGCTAGACCTTCCCATTGATAAAAATATAAATAACAATACCTGGAATATTCTCGGGTAAAATGCTACAATGGTATATTATTTGTGCGCTTGCGGATACTTTGTATTCATAGATTTATATATATTCTCTCTAGTCACTTGCATTAATTAGAACTGCTTAGTGTTATTCTAGTAATACTATGCAGTACCAACACATATCTTTGATTCATCATTAGGGATGACAACCTAGTAAAGCTAGAAGGTACAGGTATATAAAAGGTGGCTAAGTACTTAAAACAAGTGATACGTTAATGAAGACCAACACTCCTCGTCCGGTTCCTCTACATCTAGCACCATCTACTCCTAACCCGTTTCCTCTCCGTGACTCTGCCTGATGATGCTACCTCCTCCTCTCCTAGTCGAGCGTGCCGCCAGTGCGTCGTTGCCTACCGTGTAGTGCGCTATTAGACACATGTGGCTAGTCCACTCCAGTCTCCTTCTGGTCGAGCCACAACCAGCCCCGAGGGTGCACGACCGTAGCACAGCTCGCCAGCTTGCCCGTTGCCTCTGGCGTTGCCAGCACGAGACGAATCTGTCGTTCCCTTCTCCTTGTCAGTGTTGAGCGTACGTGAAGGAGGAAGTATGTGAAAATAGAAAGAAGACATGCATGGTTCTAGGTGAGAAAGTGCAAGAGAGAGAGAAAGTTTTGGAAAGGCTAAGACGATTTTGAATTAGTTTGGGTTCCAATAAAAAAGAATATGGACTTTGTTTTAGAAAGTACTAGCGGAGTCAACAACAAAATGTTGCCTCCCTTGGAAATAGGAAGGTACCTAAACATGCTAGTAGGGGGCTACTTTAGGTAGTATTGCTAGAGATGTTGTAAGCCTTAACCTTATTCATGGTAATCTTAGCCATACAAAACAAGATTTTCTAAAAAAAAAATCTTTTTAACAGATATTTTAAAAAATATATTAATATAAAAAATCCAAATTTATGCCTATTTGTTTGATGCCTAACTATGCGACAATTAATTAAAGTTAGGCAAAGTGTGGCAGCCATAAAAAGTATAACCAATAAATCAGACGCCACATTATTTGTGGCAAACTTTGGTATCAAAATGAGTCTATGACACGTGGGACATACGACTAATAAAGTTTAGCATGTTATAACTGTGGCATGAACTAAATCATACCTAGAAACTATAGCATGCCTAAATTGCGACATGTCAAGTTGCTTACAGACTAAACAGACCTGTGCCAACCGTCTAGCCACGTATTGGCCCTTTGGATAGCCGATTAGACAATGTGGCAGTGAGGTAAGGTTTTGAGTGGATACGAATTACCATCAGTCGGCAACTTGAAAGCTGTGGACTGTCTGGCACTCAAAAAATAAGAGTTTGACTGAAATTTGAGTCAAACACGTAATATATGAATGGCTAGGATCAAATAGCATTTTAATGTACTGAAATAAAGTTTTGACTGAAAGAGTCAAGTTCGGATCAAATAGCATTTAAACTGACTCATTCGGTTTGGCCTGAGCTTGTGCACACCAGCCCAGGTCAGTTTTGGTTGGCCTCCTATGTAGAGCATGTGCACTCAAGTAGATCCTTATCCCTACAAAGATTTTCTCGGTCCCTCAAAATTTGTTCCCTGTCCTTAAAAAAAAGGAAGAGCTGATTTTTCTCAATCCCCTTTCTCCCTCCCCTCTCCCACTGACGTCGTAGACCTACACTACCAAGCGAAGCGGGAGCACAGGCACCGTGCGCTGCCACCATGTTGCCGCACCGTGCTCCTCACTGGGCTATCCGTCCTCGCTACGCCCCATCCCCATCGCACACGTGTCACGCCACTGTTATTGCATAAATCGGGTTGATGCTGTGACGCTTGTGGCTCCCCGTGCCCAGCGGCCGAGCCCAGCTCCGTGCCATGCCACCATTGTCATGTTGCGCCTTGTGTCTCCTTATGCTGAGAGGGCACACATCGCACTGTGCCCCATGGGTCCCTATGCCAGGTGAGCGAGCCCCACACTAGATCGCGCTGCCACTATCATGTCGGCGTCGCCAGCGGCTCCCAATCCTGAGCAGGCGAGCTTCTCATGCACCTCGTGCCTGGAGGCAGCCAACATTGGGAGGAGAGGAAGAGCAACGGGAGAGAAGAGAGAAAGGGAAGAGAATGAGAGAAGAGAGAAGGTGGAAGAGATTTCTTCACCGCTGATGTCCCTTAGAGCCTGTTTGGGAGAGCTCTAGCTCCACGAAACTAACTCCAGAGCACCAGCTCCATCAAGGGTCTGGCTCGCAGAAAACTGTTCGGTAAAGCTCCATCTTCCATCTGAATTCACATGTAATTATAAAAAACAACCAGGGTCCAAAATGAAAAAAAACAATATATCTTCGTTTTCCTAACCGAGCGAGGGGCGGGCGGGGAAGAACCGAGCGAGGGATGGCCAAGAAGAATGGGTGTCCACGAATGAGTGTCAGGTGGGCAAGGACGTGGCAGTGGAGGTAGGGGGCGGCAGTGAGGTGAATAGTAGGGCATCCAGGGAAGCGCCCCGAGAAGTAGGGTGTTGTTGTGGATGGGACGTCTTGCCATAGAGGAGTGCGGGGCGGGGCCAAGTGTGCCGGGGATGACTTTTGTGTGCAGAGACAAAAAACAAACAAACCAATATTGTTGTGTACTTAATGGCATGGTGGGTAGTTTTCTCTGACTCCACGAAATAGAGGTTTTCTTTTTTTTTGAGACGAAAGGAGAATTATATTAAAATATACATGAGTATATTATTATGTTACAAGCCCTCTAGAATATAATACGTATATTAAGAAATTGTGCTTCATTTATATTGTACCCATGCTTCATATTGCTCCAAATCTCAATCCCTAACCTTTATGACGAATCATATGGATGATCACACACACAAACACTTGGCAAAAGCCCTAAGAACATATGCCCAACGAACGACGGCCAACATTCCCGGAGTTAAGCATAAACTTCTTCTTTTTTGTGTTTTCCATCTTCTTCCTTCTGCTATTGAAGAATAAGGAAAATTGATGTGAATCTTTCCAACTCAATAACAGTAATTGACTTGATGGGCAGATTTATTCTCACTAGTCCATCGTGGTCAGATCTGATCACACCAAAACAGAGAAGAGACCGGAGAAAATTATTCTATGGCGGCGACATCATCTCCGCCTTGATATCACCGTCCAAAAACCTAATTCTCAATGTCGTCATGCCGAGGAAGTTGTTGACGCTGTAGCTGTCGCCCTCATCTTCATTAGAATCGCCATGAAAAAAACAAATCTACCCTACCTCCTCCTCGTCGCCAAAAGGAGACAAATCCCCAATACCAAGAAACTTGGCATGGAGACACCTTAATCCTAATTTGACTCGATCTACTTGAAAACTTATTAGAGAGATGGATCCCCATTCCCTCCGGCCTCCGGCGAGTTGCCAGAGGGGGACCAACGGTGGTGGAAGCGGCGGCGGCCTTAGCTAGACCCAGGCGTTTTTCCGAAAGGAGGTTTTCAAAGCACCTCTTGGAAAGCTCTATGGATTTTATGGATTTGAGAACTAGATCCATGTTTTGGTGATATAAAGTTATTGAGTTGAAAGTGTTTGGTTAAAAAAAATCTAAAAGTTCATACCTTAAAATTAAGTTTTCTTGATTTTCTATATTAAGGTGGTGTTTAAATCCAGGAACTAAAGTTTAGGGGTACACATAAATTGGGAGTATTGGGATATTTAATAAAACAACTTACATGTATCAAACATACTATGTGATAGAGACTAAAGTTTAGGGACTAATTAGGGAAAATTCTCTCGCAATAAGGTCCCATAATTAAAATCCATTTGATAGAGACTAAAGTTTAGATGAGGAACTAATAAGGTCCTAATTAAAATTTTAAGGAAAAGAAAAGAAAGGAATCCGATGGACAGTCAAACTCTCGTACCAAGAACTCAACTGCACTTTATCCACGGTGGATTCTCACCCACTGCCCGCAGAAGATCCTACTCGCGTGTGGCGCCATCCGCAGGCCGCAGGCTGTGCGGTGTGCACGCGAACAGTGCGCAGTGGCGGTGCACCGATCCACCCGGTCCCCGTGACGAAGCCGCGCCCGCGCGCTAGACACACACGCTCGCGAACACGAACAGGGACACGAGACCGCGGCGGCCATGGCGAGAGGCGGCGGCGGCGATCCGAGGCCGGAGGATGACCCCTTCTCCGACGGCGACACCACCGGATCCGATTCCGACGAGTCCCCTCAGCAGGGGATGGGGGGCCGACGCCCCGGCGCCGCCTCCAACCCGATCCTGACACGCCTCGCGGTGTCGCGGAACCCGAGCCCGCTGGCCGCAGCCACCGCGGCCCCAGGGGTCTGCCTCCTCCGCTTCGCCTGGGAGTCCGCCGCGGGCTCCCTCGTCGGCGCCGTCGTCGGATACGGTAAACCCACGCCGCCCGTCGTCTCCGCTCTCCCTTGCCTCCCCGTTCGAATGGAACCTCAACCTCGTGCTAGGGTTTATGGCTCACCGACCGCGAGGTAACGTGTGGTCGTGGCGCCATTTCGATGTCCTCAGCCCTCAGGTGCGGACTTGGGATGATGGGGTTGGAGCCCGTGCGGTTTAGGTTATGTTTCCCCAATTCTAGCCTCCCAATTGGTGTGATAAGTATTGTTTTGCTATAGGCATTGTTCATCCTGGGGGTAGCCAGGTATTTGTGCCCTGGTCCAATTTGTGGTCTTTAGTGTACAACTCCTGCACTTAGGAACTGTTTACATTTGTTTGGTCTATAATTGCACCATTTATAACTTTTCTTTTGTTAGATTAATGTTATGGTGTCTAAGTTTCTTCAGATTGGGGGGACTATTTGGTTTCAATAAATTTGGGGGGAAATTTCTCTTCTTTATTATTATCTTTATTATCTTGTCTTGGTCCTGACTCCTGAGCCCTGACCATGTAACCGTACAGAGGTTTAGTGTTGGTTGTATTCATGAAACAAGTAAGGACTAAAATAATAAAAGAAACTAAAAATGACTAAACCTTGATTCACACAGTCAGATATCACTTGACTGCTAATCTGCTGTATAGGGCTGAGACTCTCAGCCTGGAAAAGCTTCACTTGCATGGGTATTTGTGTTATCTGAAGCAGTTTACAGAAACCCAAATTATTGGAATCTGTTTTCAAATTGATGTATGTCCATAGTTGAATAGTTAGTTGGTGAGTTGGATGGTTCTGGAGTATTTGTTCTGTAGCATATCTGTTTTTTAATGAAAGAGAAGGTCTGGAGGTGTGTTTGGAGCATTTCACATCTGCTGCTCTGTTACTCTACCTGCCCTATATGGGTGAGGATTAGTTTAATTTGGGAAATTGGGTCTTCTTACAACCCTATGCAAGTGGGGGTCTACAATAGTGATTAGATTGGATATAGGTGAGCTGCAAAAGTTAAATTAAGGTTAGATAAGTGGAATAATGCTGGTTACATTCCGATGGCATAACCTTGTATTTTCAGCATCCATCATGCCAACCAGATGCCATCTTGTGTTCTTAGTTCATTCTGCATCGTCACACACAGCTGACCAAACAGAACCCTGACTTGTATCTTCTCTTGTTCAAACCAGTCTGGGCCCCAGCTGTATTATTTGATTCACTGCTTACAAGTAGAAATTGAAAGATAGCTCTTCTTCAGAGAAGACCAGAATAGGAAATCAGAGATGCTTGTACCAAATAGGAAATACTACTGGTATTATCAAAGCTACAATTCACTTGAGTATAATACATAAATTATCCATAGAGTTATATCCCAAAATCTGGTTTAGCCCTTCAAATGCATATATGGTTCAACGTGAGCAATGCTGGCCTGATCTGAATCCTCACATGTAAAAGAAAAAGTTCATCCAAATAACTTCTACCTTGATTTGTGAAGAAGCAAAAAGAAACCAAAACTGAGATATGAAGAACTTAATCCTTTTAACTGATGTTACAGTCATCACCATATTGAATGAAATTGGCACCATAAAGCCCTTTCTAGAAAATTATGGGTCTGTCTACATGTCTGGCGACAGATTTTTCAACCAGAAATCTGTCAACTTTTTGGCAAATCAACAGCTAACACGTCACCAACAAAAAAAACTTACAGATTTACAATACCAAAATCTGTCAGATTTTCAATACACGGGTAAAGATCATCAAAGATCCAAAACCCGTTAGCTGCTTGCTGCTATCTGCCCATGTGGCTTTTGCTGCTGCTTCTGCTGTTCCACCAGTCCTTGTTCATTTAGCTAAATAGGCAAAATGGCAACATCATAATTAACAACTCTTGGCTGAACTACAAAATCCAGGTACTCCTTTTCAAATTGCCCATACTCATGCCTCGGTCTGCTCCCGCAGGCGCCAGATTGAGCTCCTGACAGTGACCACACTAGCAATGCTGGAAATGCAGAGAACAAGTACACGTGCTTATCCTCCTCTTCTGGGATCTTCTGTAGAGAACAAGTTCACAAAAAGAATTAACTTTAGAGATGTTCAGTTAACTTTCTGAATGATCAGGGTTGCGATGTGCCAACCTTAATATTGGTTGGATGAGCCAAGTTGTCCTTGACGAAGCTCTTGAACTCTTGGAAGTTCTCCTCTATCGTCCAGTAGTGCCCGCTGAGAGGCCAAATCACCTGACAAAAAAAACAGGTCTGCGTCACCAAGACATCAAACAAACTGGTCATCGAAAAAAAGTGAAATTGAATATTTGCTCATACTAGAATGGTAGAATGGTAGCAGATTGATAGATACCTTCAAAGTTCCATTATCAACAACCAATCGCCCGGCAGTACGAGTGGCCCCTATGGCAAGTAAGCTAGAGTGTTAAAATGTTCCCTTTTTCTTCTGCATTTGAAGTTAAAAGTTAGAACCTGTCCACTCACATGAGTATACCTGAAAATGGGCATCTAACTTTTACATTGCAACACACACAAAAAAAAAAAGACGAACCAAATGGTGAACCTACAAACAAGCTTAGATATACTAAAATTAGTTACACAAAAAAAAGATCTCAATTTTATTGTTCTAAAACAATTAGTTAGCCAAGTCAATCACTTGTAGTTAAACACTTACATACGGGAAGTACATACAGTCTTGCAGCAGTACTCAGAAAATACTAGCAGGGATCATTCTATTTTCTCTTCAGACACATCTTGCATTGGGTGAAAAAGAAAACACCCACTTGCGTGCCAACGAAAAATAAAAATACACACCCTTTTTCAAATCACAGCAAAACAAGGCTGGCATGCAGGCTCGCATAGTTTGGCAGAGACCAAATGCTGTGGTGAACATGTGGAAAATACATGCTGATGCAAGAGGCAAAACACAAAATGGATCACAAAATCATACAGCCTGCTCGCTTGTGCTAGCTGCAGCAGCTGCCGCCACACTCAGACAGCAGTTGCTATTGCACATACAAATCAAACAGCAGCAGCTGCAGCCAATGTGAAAGAAGGGCAGCCGACACAGCCATAAACACTAACACCAGGATAAATCACAAATCTCAAGGGAAGGGACAGACAAGCATGGAGGACATCCATCTGTTAGGGAAAAAAACATTGGAAAAAAACATGATGGTTCAGTCCAAATAAAAACAACGAGGAGCATCAGAGCTGCTATCCTAGCACATATCAAATCAATAGCTAGTTGCACGCAAAGTTCCAAAGCAAACCAGAAAAAGCTAGCATCAGTGCACACCACCTCCCTTCCACAGCAGATCACAGAAAAGCTAGCAGAAACCGGGGTTCCAGTCCATGTTCTCACATTCGGGAGAAGGCAGCATGAATCCCACCACAACCGCTCTCTCCAGGATGGCAGCATCGCCGACGGAGGCGGAGCTCATGAGCAGCGCCACCACCCATTCGACTCCCTCCTGGTTGAGCTCCTCGACGAGGTCTTGCTCCCAGTCCCAAGGCCGGCCCACCCTCATTCACGTCGCGACCGCCTTGACGAGCTGGCGCCGCGCCATCGCCACCTCGTTTGATCTGCGCCTCCGCTGACGCCAGTGACAATCAGCGCACACAGCAGCAGCTCCTCAATCAACAGCAATCGACGAATAACTACATGAAAGAACAACTACACTTACAAATTCGACCGCTCGCGTCGGAGTTGAGCGCATACGCACGAAGAGAGTCCGAAGAACTTCCCCGCAATCGACGCCTTGTCACGCAGGGGCACCTCTGCCGCCCTCGGCACAGGGGAAAGCGGCGGCGAGGCTCGCACTCCACCCACCGCCCGCGCAACCACGACGGAGGAGACGAGAGAGGTGGAGGGGATTGGCCGTCATGGCCGATTGGGGAAAAGGAAATAGAACGGGGTTTGCGGGTTTCGTTGCGCCAGTTTTAGAATCCGCTAGCGTAGGTTTACGCCCGAAACGCCACACGAATCTTGAAACACAATGAACGGCCCAAAATCTGACAGATCCAAATCAACAAAATTAGTCGACAGAAATATAGCAAAATTCGAAAATTATTATGCTTTTATTTGTGTTAGCACTGGTAGTGGATCAGTATCCCTCTGCTTAAACCATATATTCTCGGCTGTAGCTTTATTTTATGCTCTTTCTTAGAGGGTCAACAACTATAGAATCATACAATCGGTAGAGATCCCCTGTATGACTTATTGGATTAGTGAGCACAAGATCCTATATTTTAACTAACACAGTGTTCTAAAAAGTGCTAGGTGGGTCCTGGAGTCGTGGTGTCTAGCTCCAGATTGTGTATTTGTTATCCTTTTTTGGTCTTCTGCTGTGAAGCCTACATGTATAATCATATAGCTCCACTTTTCTATTTTCTTTAATTTTTCAGGTAAAGGTTTGGTTATGATGAAGGGGTTTAAAGGATCATTTCCTGATGCTGCGTCATCTGCTAAGGTATAAGGATATTCTTTCCACATGTGGATACCACTTTGTGCCTATTGTTTACCAACATCTCATGGTGTAAATCTTGCCTTCTTGATCTAGATATTTGCTGTTCTTGCTGGTGTTCAAGGTTTGGTAGCCTGCTCTTTGAGAAAACTTCGTGGAAAAGATGATGGTTTGTATTTGTCTGTGTTCTGTTTGTTTCTTTTTTTATTCCTCTGGATTAATAAAATGCTAAAAATGCATGAATGCATTAACATGTCAATTATTTTATTTCCAGGAATCAATGCAGGAGTCGCAGGCTGTTGTACTGGCCTTGCTTTGAGCTTTCCAGGTAAAGTTTCAGGAAATGTGCAATCAATAGCTTTGAACTTTTTTAATGTACAATTGCTGCACAGCCTGTTCCTTAATGGCCTGGTGAGGACAAAGGTTACACAAACAATAGCCACATTGTTTATGCCGAGTTCTGGCTACGAGACAATTGCTCTTTTTTATATATGCTCTTTGCAATTTTGACACTGTTTGTTGAAAAGTGAAAACACAATGTCTGTGTTAAAAATTTTATGATCACTTGCTCATGTGTGGTTCTTGGGTTGTACCTTTGCTTGCAACCCTTGATCTAGTTGACCTTTGGAGCATAGCATAGAAACCTTCCTATGCCGGGGACTAGAGGAAGCTGGTTGTAAACTTGTGTTAGTTGATGGCATACCTGTTTCTTTAGATTGAATGGTCTGAATGTCTGTCACGAATAGAAAGTTTGATGCTTATTATGCTTAACAATTCCGCATTTTGATATCTCCTTAGGATGCCTCCATAATCAGTTGTGGTTTGTCTCTTGTGCACTATGGAGTATCAATGTTTAGATTCCAATTACTCATCTTCTGTTGATGTCCATGGCATACATTGACTATTTGCATTCCATTCAAGTTAATTTGTTATGCTCACTTGTTTTTGATTTCTTAGAATATGATGGCCCGGTGCAGTAATTGTTGAAATCAATATCACATTTTTTTATTGGGTTTCAGGTGCTCCGCAAACTCTGATTCAGAGCTGCCTGACCTTTGGGACTTTCTCTTACATCATTGAGAAGCTAAACAAGCAGCAGCCTGCGCTGGCGCTCCCGCCTACGACAGGGGTGATGGATCTGAAGGCTGGACAAAGCGTTCTTCCCCCCTTCACACTTCCTCTTCCGGATGCGATGGACGAATTTTCCAAGTTCCAAAACTTTTTGTCATCCAAATTTCGGGGAAACTGAGTTATCCTTATGGAGTGACGCCTAGTTACCTACTCTGGAACGTGTCCTTGTAAATGCGTCAATGGTCAATCTGAGTTTTTTTTTCCTTGTTTATTTCTTGGCGAATGAGTGTTCCCAAGGTAGTGTTTTGCTAGTGTTGATGATTCTACCCTGTTATGTGACAATTTTGCAAATAAGGGGAGCAGCTTGTCGTTTGTTCAACTGGTCGGATCTTCGGAGTTGTACCCACGTATCCTTACCTTGTCGACATTCACCACGTAGAGCCAACATGATTTACCACAACCATGGTAAATAGTATTTTTTATATAACTTTAGTTGAACTTTAAATTATTTGACTCTTAAAAAGTGGAAATTGCATTCTTTTGTGAAGGAAGGGAGTACTAGGCATTCAATCAACACTGCTTCCATTTCAGACTCCTCAACCTCTCTGTTCGGCTGAAGGTTCAAACTGGTTAAAACTGTTTTACCGTGAGAGGAAAATACCGTATTCAATCAACACTGCTTCCACTTTTTCAGATCCCTCAACCTCCCTATCAAGAAAGAAAGAGAGAGAAGCTGCATCTCTATACCTGGTTTCCATTTCATCATGCATGATCCCTGTAAGTCTGTCCATCCATCCTTTTTAGAGCAAAAAAATCTTCGACCTTCAGAGTCTTAATGAAATAAGTCATCTACATCTCTATAACCTGCTCTTCCATTTCATCATGCATGATCATGGTATTAGTCTGCTCCATCCATAACTTTATTAGAGCATCACGTTAATGTATCTTCAACCTTCAATTATTGTATTACATAAAATTTTTCCGCATAGAGCCCATACTTTATTAAGCTTATAAATCACTAAACAACCATAACTTATAAGTGACTGATTTCCGATCAGTGCTTATGGAAACCAAAAGGTCCTCGGTTATTGTACCAGAGTACGTTAGCCTACAGTTACATATCACATCACAGGACTGCTGTGATGTAAAATTATTGAAGCAGTTGGAAGTGGTGGAGCGCCGGGCGACCGTCGAGGCCTTTCTTGTCGTAGTGCGCCAGGAACTCCGGGACCGTCACGCTCCTGTACAGCGCCCTTCCCGCGCCGTCGCCGGAGGTGATGAGCTCCGCGATGGGTCCATACAGCCTCGTGGACCTCGCGATGTCCGCGTTGAAGAAGCACGCCACTGACACCCTCGCCGTGTCCCTGCTCCGGTTGGCCACCACCCGGTGCTCCACGCTCCTGAACCGCCCGTTGCTGACCAGCTGGAGGAGGTCGCCGACGTTCACCAGGAGCGCGCCGGGCACCGGAGGCACGTCCACCCACCCAGAGGCCAGCAGCGCTTGCAGGCCGCCCTGCGCGTGCTCGTCCTGCAGCAGCAGGGTCAGGAAGCTGGGGTCCGAGTGCGCGCTGCACCCCAGGGTGAGGTCGGGCTCCGGGCACGGCGGGTAGTAGTTGCACACCAGGCTGAGGCCGTCCGCGCACCCCATCCCGGCGAGGTGCCCGGGGCCCAGCCCCAGGGCCTCCGACAGCAGCGCCAGCACCCGCGCCGCCACCTCCCGCGCCGCGCCGCTGTACTCCAGCATCACGTGCCTGACCGCGGGCGGCAGCTCCTCGGCGCGCGGCGGCTCCGGCGCCGCCTCGCAGAAGAGCGTGTCGCGCCAGTTGGCCGCCGGTGACTGGAACAGGTCGAAGTTGGAGTTGAACCGCAGCTTCCGCCGGGCGTCCCGCGTGTAGTAAGCGCGCTTCGTCTCGGGGGCCTCCTCGTTGAACCGCCTCACCGACGCCAGCATCTCCGACAGGAGCTCGCCGGGAACGCCGTGGTTCACCAGCTGGAAGAACCCCACCGTCTCGGCCGCGGCCTTCACCTGCGCGACCACCTCCTCCCGCGCGGCTGCGTCCGCCGCCGAGAGGTCGATGACCGGGATAACGCTAATAGTGTTGCAGCTGCTACTGCTAGAGGACGATACCTGCGGCCCGTCCTGGCGGTGGTGGCGGAAGATGGTGGGGACGGTCGTGACGCCGGCGTCCACGAGGCCCTTGACGCCGGCCTTGGTGTCGTCGAAAGCCTTCAGCTCGCTCAGGCGGCGGTCGTAGTCGTAGCCACCAGCTGCCTCTTCCGTGGTGGACATGGCTGCCGGCCTGCCGGGCTGGCGATCGAGGCGAGCTGGATGGATCGAGACGAGATGTCAGATGTCCGTGGTGTACTGGTGTGGTTGATTGGATACTTCTCAAATTCGTCAGCACGCACTACCAGACACGGCTCCGAGTGTAAAAAGCTTCGTCGACTGCTTTCTGTCGGACACTCGGTAAAGGTATTTTTTTGTCGAGAACCGAATCCAGCGGCACTCGGCAAAGATAGGCCGTCGATAAATCTGCCTTTACCGAGAGCCGGACACTCAACAAACTTTAGCCGTCGGCAAAAATTTTCCTTTGTCGAGTGCTAGGCGCTCAGCAAAGATTGGTCGTCGACAAAAAAATCTTTGCCGAGTGCCGGGCACTCGGCAAAATTTGACCATCGGCAAAGATGGCCGGCGTGACGGCGGCCACCTGCTGTTAGCCTTTGTCAAGTGCCCCGCCGTTAGGCACTCGGCAAAGGGTTTTTTATTTTTATTTTTTTAAAATTTTTTGTCGAGTGCCCTGTGACCTGGCACTTGGCAAAGGCTTCTTTGTCGAATGTCAAGGTTGGCACTCGGCAAATTATTTTTTTTGTTTTTGTTTTTTTCGTCCCATTTTTTTCTAGGGCCTTGCTACAGTAATTAAAACTCCATTTCAAAATTTGGGATAATTTTGAGTTTTTTTACTATATTTCCTTAATTATTTTTATTTCGTTAAATTTTTCTGACTATTTCAAATTTGAACTGCATGTACATGAAATAATGGAATTTGGTCATTCAAAAAATGGTATTCATGATGTTTGGCGTATGTTGAGGCCGTATCCAGGAACTCGCATGAAATTACGAGCATCTTGTTGTCGTAACATGACGATGTACTTGCGGGAAAAGTGTATTTAAATTATATAAAATCCAAACGAAGTCCGAAAATTACGAAACTTATCGAGGTGTCTTGTTATCGTATGTGGAGGCCGTGGTAAAAAATTGAGAAAGTTTGGAGCAAGTTGTGACGTCGAATGCCTAAAAGCCAGATATCTCCACATGTGATCACTGGGGCAGGTGCTGCTTGTGATGCTGCTGGTATGTCTGTCGTAGGATCGGATGATGCGATAGAAGAAGGAAGCCTCTGAGTCGTCACGACGACGGGAGCTGTAGTAGAAGGACTAGGGGCATACATATGCAGTGGTGTAGGCATCCCGGTCAACTCGCTGAAAGATGCTCCAAGACTCCTGGAGACTAACGTGTCAGGCACAAAGAGTGAGGCTGACTGATCCGGTGTGAAGCCCGTCTAAAATGGAGTGAACTGCGGGGCTACCACTGGCGAGGATAACCACTGGGACACCTGTATAGTAGGTGAAGCAAACTGAGCTGGAGGCTGTCCCTGACTCTGAAGCCCACTGGATTGTACTGCTGGAGTCGTCGTAATGGTGGCAGGCTGAGCAAGCTGGGGCGAAGGCTGTAACTGTGGAGCCCCAAGTGCTGTTACTACATGCTGCATAAATCTCATAAGCTGTTGCTGCATGAGTAACTGCTGCTGATGCATCTGCTGCTGGAGGACCTGCTGTTGTCGCTGGAACTCGTCCTGACGAGCCTAAAACTGTGCAAAGTTGGCAGCGGTCTCCTGAGTCTGTCGTGCCTGATCCTGCTGCATCTGCTCAAGGATAGCAATCAAAGCGGGGTCCGTCTGCGGTGTAGGTGGAGCGGAGCTGGAACTGCCGGCCTCTGCATCATGTCTGCGTGGAGGCATCTGAGGAATAGGCTGATAGTCATCGTCTGAGCTGTCACTAGGCTCGCTCACCTCCTGCTGTGCCTCAAGCTGCTCCTCCTTAGTAGCGGCTATGCCTCTGATAATCTCATCCTGCTGAGCTGCGGTCTCTGGTACATCTGGACGACGGCGAGGCTGAGTGGGTGCCTATGGTGTGCTATGCCTGATCCTCTGTGCCATATTATAAGCTGGAAACTCTACGGTGGCACCTCTGTATTCTGCAACCATCTCTGGTGTCCTAACTTGCACAGCCTTGAGAATAAGGAATGTGATCCAATGTGCATATAGAAGATGCCTACGACCCTTGAAGCCCTCAGCTATAGTATCCTCCATCTCTGACAGAAGGAGGTCACAAATATCAAACACTGTCTGCTGCATCAGGGCATTGAGGAGCCAAAGCTGGATACGTGTCAGGCCCTCCCTGTATCCCAAGCTGGGAAGCAGTGTCCTCCTCATGATAACCTCTAGAACTCGAGCAGTCGGAGTAAGATCACTGGAGTTCCTACGTGAGCCCTCGCCAAAAGGCTCCTTGAAGCAATGTCGCACAAGATCTGTAGGGGGCACCAAACCACCATGAGGACGCCTAGGAGGCTCTGTCTGTCCATAACATACCTCATGTAACTTGACTGGCAGCTCCTGTAGCCTCAGTATCTCCCTGACCCTCTGACTTGTCAGTCTGTAATCTCTGCATCGGAATGCAAAGTGAATAAAGTTATGGTGCGGATCAACAAAGAGAGAAGCATAGAACTGATGCACCCAAGATGGAACATACAGTCCTGTCCGTCCAATCAAATCTGTCAGCCCCGGCAGATATGCAAGATAGGGGCGAATATGCTCTCCAACTGCTGCTACTATATCCTCAATGCTGCAGACTCTCTGAGATCTAAAGACTGCTCCACTGTTCAGATATGCATTGCAGAAATCTTTCTGGAGCGATGTGTAGAATCCCTCAGCTGCTCTCTCATCCCTCCTCGGAGGAAACCACACCTCAAACTCTACAAACCTCAGCTACCGAGCCTGCTTGGCCGTGGCGGCCCTCAAGTCAAGGTGGGTCACTGGAGGTGGACCCTGTGGTCTGGGAGGTGGACGAGAACCTCTCCGCTGTGTTTGTGGCCTCGGTGAGACGGGAACTCGTGTACGACCGGAGCGACGAAGCTGTGGCTAGGGTGCCTGCTCGGTCTCCTCGGCCTGCTCACCCTCCTGGGTCTCCTGTGCTGGCTGGGGCTGCTGCTGTGATGACTCCCCATATGGCTGACTCTCATCAATAGCATGACGACGTCCTGCAACCGTGACAGTCCCAGGTGGACCACCATGCAGGCGCTCAACTCGCTCGATTCTAGCTCTAGCCTCTGGTGAAAGCGACTGATCCTCAATTACTACCCCACTACGAGCACCTCCTCTCTCGGCACGCTCTGCAGCCTCTACAACTGTTGCTGCTCGAGTTGTCTCTACATCTAGGTACTTCCTTTTCTTGGATGCAATCTTCTTCGTTGCATTGCCTTTTAGATCTACAGGCAGGCGAGGCGGGGGCCTCCGATCATCATCTCCTTGACCACCTCCAACATTCTTGGTGCGAGCCATCTGATCTGACAAGAAAAACTGTTGCTAACAAGATCAACTGTCTACTGACACTTTCGAGGCTTGGCTTCGATCCGTACTCGCGAGCTTGGCCCCGAGTTAACTGACAACTGCCACTGACACCTCAACGGCACCGACTCGCTGCACGATGGAATAGATGGATATACAAATAAATACAATATATCTAATAGATGCAAAACCCTAGGAAGCAAGCAATTTAGATACAAAATTGAAGCGACTGGCTTGCTACCTGATGAACCGGTGATCCGATGAAAAGAAGAGACGTCACGCGGGGGAACCTCGGAACCGGCTAGGGTTAGGGTTCGCGAAGCACGGCGTGAATCGGTGAAATCGACGGCGAGGATTGCAGTGCAAGGTCACGGTGGTGCTAGACTACTAGAGTATGAGCAGGGCGCAAGGGCTCGGGCAGTGGATGCGCTGGCGTAGGGCTAGCACGGTGGCGCGGCTCGGTTGGCACGGTGGCGTGGGGAGGCGCTGCTGGCAGCGGCGCTGGAACTGCGCGGGAGGCAGTGCCACGGGCAGAGGCGTGCGGACGCGGCGGTGGAGGCGCAAGGAGCTGTGGCTGCAGCGGTGCTGGGAGACATGGCGGCACGACGGTGGCACGCGGGCTTGGCTGCGATGGCGTCGGTGAGATGGATGCGGCGGATAGGGCTCAGTGAAGGCGGCGTACGATTAGGTCAGGCAGAGCTGCGTTATATGGGTCCCCCGATGCAACAGACAAGGAAAGGAGAAAAGAGATTGAAAGCCGCACGAGATCAAATGATCGGATGCTCCGGTGGTAGCGACCAGACGCTACCACCCAGCGTCCGGTCGATTCTAGATAGGTCCAATACCTCTGGAATCGCGACCGGACGCGTCTGGTGGTCCATGACCGGATGTAGCCAGAGTCCGGTTAGATACCTTGAACGCCATGAAGATCAACCGGACGCTGGAACCCTTCCTGACCGGACGCACAAGCGCAGAGTCCGGTCACTCCTTCAACTTCTGTTCACCTCCTGTGAACTGACCGGACGATGGACATCAGAGTCCGGTGCAGCGTCCGGTCACTCTTTTCCAGCAAATCTTCAAAGTTCCTTCGCGCTGCTTGTTCCCAATCAAGTCCCAAATAGAATAAGACTCAAATAAACACCAATTAGGACTAATGTGAGTGACCTCTCTCAAACCCTCAAGTTTTTCAATTTTTTTGCCTTAGGCTATTATTCTTTTTAAGAAAATAGGCAATAAGAGGGCAAATGGAACAAAACGACAAAATAACATTCATGCATATGCAATACTTGTAAGTAAATCTAGTTGTTTGTCAAGTTTGATCCAAGGTTAAGCTTCTTCACACGCTTTTCGACGGTTATCTTAACCATGTCAGACAAGCCCTATATGCATTACCAAAAATTAAATATGTTGTATATTACAATGAATGCAAGGGACAACACAAGCTCATCTTTTAGTGAAGTTACTAAAATCAAGTACATTAAGCTCATTTTGCAATCTACAAAATGTAGCCTCATCTAGCGGTTTAGTGAAGATATCCACTAATTGATCTTCGGTCCTTACACCTTCTAGTGATATATCATTTTTAGCAACATGATCTCTTAGAAAGTGATGACGGATATCTATGTGCTTGGTGCGAGAGTGTTGAACCGGATTTTTTGCAAGTTTT